CAAAGTTATCCTTTTTCTTAATTTCTAAGTTTTTAAAAAATATGTATATGCAAAGTACTTGTTTATGTAAATTTTCCCTTGCACAAGTTTTTCACATTGTTTTGGTCATCAGATTTGGTAGACATTTATGTTCTGTTTTGTATCATCCTGAACTTATTCATTTAAAATATATGTAATTTTTTTTTTTTAATTGGTAGTACTGAGAATCAAAACCAAGGTCTTGCACGTGCTAGGCAAGTGCTCTAGCTCTGAGCTACAACCCCAGTCCTTCTAATTTTGAGGTCTCACTAAGTTGCCCAGGCTGGCCTGTAATTTTCAATCCTCTGGCTTCAGCCTCCACAGTAGTTGGGATTAAAGGCGTGCACCACCATGCCTAGATTCCAACATTTTCTTTTAATCTCTCTGGCTCTTAATATGACACTGGGTGTGAGATGGGACCTTTCTTTTTATCCTCCTTGGTGGTTATTCAGCTGTCTTCTACCATTTGAGAACACTTTCTAAGCTGGGCCCAGGTTACACACATCTATAATCCTAGCATCTGGGAGGCTGAAGCAGGAGAATCACTGCAAGTTTGAGGCCAGCCTGAACTACAGACACCCTGGCTCAAAAGACAAAGAAAACAAAACACTTTTTATAGATATCTATTGGATTCCCATGTATACATAGGCCTATTTTTGGGTTCTAGTCTATTTCACTGATCTCAGCAGGTGCCAGCACCATATCACCTTAATTCTTGCTGCTTTAAATATGCTTTACTAAGTGGAAGAAATAGCCTCACTCCCTAGCTCTTCCTTTTAGTACTTTTCCTGGCTACTTCGGTATACTTAGTTTTCTTGAACTTTGGAATCAGCTTTTCTATCTTTTAAAAATCCGGTGGCAATTTTACTGGGATTAACTTTAAATGTGCAGGGTAATTTTTACAGGAGAATGTCTTTATCATTTTTTTTCAACCACTCAGACCAAAAGCATTGGAGTCATCTTTGTTGCCTCTTTCCCCGACACCCAGTTTGTCCCTTAGCAACCCCTGGGAGCAGTAGATTCTGAAGCTGACCACTTCTCTCCCACTTCCACCTCCCACTCTACTCAAGACATCAATTGTCACCCACTTTCTGAATTGCTAGTCTCCTTCCTTCCTTCGGTCTATTCTCAACACAGAAGGCAGAATAAACTTCAAACATAAGTCAGTTTACCTCACAGTTCTGCTCAAAACCCTCTGCAGGCTTTTAACCTTCCATACAGTGAAAAACAAGATTTGGAGCACAGATCTGGAGGTGAGTTAGCCATGTAATTAACAGAGAGAGTGTCTCAAGCAAAGGAAATATCCAGAACTGGGTCACAAGGCAGAAACAGGCAGAGAGTAACAGGAGAGGAGGTCACAGACACAGCAATAGACAATAGGTCAGGACCTTCTTAGCCAGTCTAAGCAAAAAGTAGTTAGTTAGCTCCATGGGGTGGGAATTGGGATATGAGGGATGTGGCTGAGAAGATGATCTTTTTATCTTAAAAGCCTTATAGAACAACTTGATTTCTAAAACCAGCTACACGGGTCACTTCAATCAATAAGGGGTTCAAAATTTACGTATGAAAGAAAAATGTAAAAACTCAAACTGCAGATTGCATTTGTCAACATGTAGTAGGAATTAAGCTTTTTTTTTTTTTTTTTTAGCAGATGGACATTTACGACCCAAATTTCATGCCCTTTCAGGTATCATGGGGATTTCAAACAAAATAACTAAGATTCACCAATTTAAAATTTAATTTTTGAGCTGCCCCTAGAAAGTAAGGAATATCTAGTATTTATCAAATAAACAACAAAATGACATACTTAGATTTACTGATCTTTAGGAAAAAAATAAGAGGTTTCAACAATTTTTAATTTCTTTCACTTTTATGTTTAAAAGAATCATAGTACTGGATAGGCATTAGAAAAAAAAATTTAAAAATACAAAACTGACAATAAAACAATGTGGGAATTATTTGCTTCCACTGATACCTTGGAGAGATGAAAATTTCCCCAGGCCACAGGGGTTCAAACTTGACTGTTTCTTCACAAATGACATAAATCATCAATGACTCAGAAAACCCTTTGCTGTAAGAACAAATACAGCATGTCACTCAGCTTCACCTTGCAGTTGGAGCAGAATAAAATGCTGGAGTGTTTAAAAGGAAAATCTTCAGGCTGCACACAGTAGGACTCGGCCTCTTGTAATTCCACATCCACTTTCAATGAAAACCTTTCCTTGGCTCTTTCTATACCCAACAGATTGTCATAATATTAAAATTTTTTAGTTTTTTTTTTTTTTTTTGGTGCTGGAGATTGAACCCAGGGTCTCTGAGCTATAGCCACAGGTTAATTTCTTATCACCTAGTTATGAATCAAAATGTTTTAAATCTGCATCTCCCCTCGCCCATGCCACCTTGCTTCTTTTCTAAGTTGCATTCTGTTATTAATGAAAGGAAAAAGAACTGATCATAGAGATGGTTTGGTGTTTAAAATATCAAGAAAACTTTCCTAACAGGCCAAATCCTTGTGAAAGCTACTGAAATAGTTTTCATACTATTTCATACTATCTCCAGAAAGCTGCAGAAAAACATGTAAGAGCACATCCAACTTCCCAGGTGCCAGCAATAACAAAGAAAAATGGGCAGGGGTGGGAACATTTCCTGTCTATGTTATCACTACCAGCAGCCTATGAGAACAATTTATTTTGGAAACTAGATTTATACAGGAAACTCAGCAATCAAATGATTCCTCTAGAAATGGTGAGAAAATTAAACACATGTTCTTATTTTTGATTTACAGCAAGAAATTAAAGCTATTAAAATTGTTTATTCAAGGACTGCCTCTTAAAATGTTCTCTTCAGCTTTTTATAGAAGTAAAAGTTGTCATGTACAAATATTCTTTGTTCAATTATTAAAGACTGCCCTTTAAATAAAATAAATGATCTTCTTATACAGTGAGATAGAGCTTAACTTAATAATATATCAATGATAGGGGCCAGGGATTTAGCTCAGTGGTTTCGCTGCCTGCTGCACAAGCACAAGGACCTGAGTTCGATCCCCGGTACCAAAAAAAAAATATCTATATATATATATCTAGATATATATATCTAGATATCTATATATATATCTAGATATATATATATCTCAATGATAAAAGTCCTTAGCACTTTGAAAATCACGTTTTTAAAAAAATTAAGAATATTCATATAAATGTTGGTTGCTCTATCTTTTGTTCTGATCAGTGGCTTTCAAACTTTTTCACCACTAGTAATAAATTTTACACGATGACTCAGTATCCATACACACAACACCCCAATCCAAACAAGTTTTCACAAGAAAAGACATTCCCTAATAACAGGCAGTGTAATGCTGGTATTTTCTGTTCAATTCTCTTCCATTCCCTCAATTATTTTCCTCACTAAAGGATCACAAACTGCAGAAAAACACTCAGAAAAAAGTGAAATTCTGAACCATACATTACCAGATAACCATTATTGTTTTTACTATGAAGAATACTCAATGGTAAAACAAAATGTCTACTGTCATTACATGGCATGATTTTAAAATTTATTATTTTTAAAATTACCGACAGCCCTCTGGAAACATAGCCAAGTCCTCATCATACATGTGTTTTCTAACAAGGTCCAAGACTGGGCTTATCTGCTGTGTCCAGCAGAGACTGGTGATGGCTAGAATCACCTAACTAACCTAAAATGTAGTAGCCTGTGGAGAAATGTAGCAGGACAGAGGTTCTCATGCTGCCATCTAAAAGAAAACCCAAAATGCAGTGTTAGTACCGATTTCATTCCAAAGCCTATTTATACTTCAGACTTGACAAAGTATATCCCAAAGCAACACTTGTCTTTACCTGTAACTTTAATTTCAGCAATTGTATTTTTTATTTGAGAAGTTCTACTTGGTTCTTTTCCTAATCTGTCTGATGATTTTTTAAATAGATTTTTGTTCCTTACTCAATAATACTTCAGTCTGATAATGTCACTGTATCTTTGTGGCTTATTCCTTTGAACCCACCCCCTTCCCTTGGCAGGCTTTCCCTCTGCCTTGCTTATGTACCGTGTGAATTTTGAGTGTGAGCAAACACTGCATGAACTATATGTGGGACCTCTTTGGAGAACTGGCTTAAGGTGGGTTCTTCTAGAGAATATTTTGTATTCATCTCTAACAGTTGCCTACATACCCTACCAATTTGTTTTTTTCTTCCCCTTCCTCCCTCCCTTTTTCTCTCTTTCCTTTCCCTCCCTTCCCACCTCTCATTTTAAAATTAAATTTATTGGTACAATTTTTTCTATCTTTCCTTCTAGGGTCTTGCTAAGTCACCAAATTGCCACAGCTGGACTCAAACTTGCTATACTCCTGCCTCAGTGTCCCTGAATTGCTGGAGTTATAGGCCATATATAGGCCATAACCTATAGGTTATAGGTTATGTACCATCAATCTGGGCTTTTTTTTTTTTTCTTTTTTTAAGAGTATCCATATGGGGAAGAATTTGGGCTGAAATCCAAGCGTGAAGTATTCTTGGGGTCTAAACAGTAAGGAGAGTATATGTGTGTATACATTTATATTTCACCTCTCTATCCAGAGTCAAAGTTAAATACAGGAACTGTTCTTAGGATCCTCCTTGGGGTATGGGACTCAGCAATAAGTATGCTCTGTGTGTGTGTGTGCCGCACACACGCTCAGATGCAAGTCTGGGTGTGATTCCCTATCCTGGGCTGATCCTGGACTTCATCTCCTGTCTCTTGGGATCCCAAAGCTGTGAAAACTAAAGCTATTCTTAGAACTCCAGGCTGCAATTCCCATTTAATTTTATTTTTCTTCTTGACTTTTCTTCTTGAAAAAAATTCTTTAATCTTAAACACTTTGAACAGTTTCCATTAGGTAGGTATATCTCATACCATAAAGCTATGCAGTTTTACAAAATCAGCAATTCTCTCTAAAGTGATATGAAATCAAACCTGTAGAGAAGTTATTGTAATTCAGACTTTATTGCTTATTAGTTATGCCATTCCACACAATTTTAGGTAAAGAGATTTTGAGAAAATATACTGGGAGCGTTGAACAGATGATGGTGATACTGTGAAAGTCTTCAAGTATTTTACACAAGGTAATAAGATGCACCATGGCCACCATCACCCCCAGAAATTTGTACATTTCATATAAAAACAGTAAAAATAGTTCATTGGAATTCAATTAGCATTATTCTTTGTAATCTAGCAACCATGGTAAGCCTGAATAATTTCATAATTTTAAAAGCAAAAAAAAATTTTTTTTCCTCAAAAAGGAACAAACAAATCAACATAACAAAAACCACACATATACAACCCTGAAAACAAGTTGGCATATTCTAGTCGGCATATTAATACTAATTCAAGAAATAAAATGTGATTCAGCTTTTAAAAGAGATTAAACTTCTTCACTGTAATTATACTTACAATTTCAAACAATCTAACTGAAGCCAAACTTTACTTTGTAAAAACCATGAATACATTTCAAATTACTCTTATGCTAAGGTAACTTCTTTAAAATTTAATTATTCTTTAAAACCTCAGGCACAAACTGCACAGGTATGACATACTAACAATCCACCCTTCCAGATATACAGAAGTTCTAAGTGTTCTTAAAATGAAGGGGCTACATAAAGTCACTAAATCACACATAAACATTGATAACCCTTCCTAGTAAAACTGTACCAAGTTTTCTTTATTAATGACTTTAAAAAGCACATATAACAGTTCAGTATTTGAAAGACTTCCATGTGTATTAAAAAGATGCAGAGATTGATAAGTACATTGGATTTGAAAAGACACTACAAAAAAAATATTTGAAATGCAGTTTTATATTGAACCCATTTAAAGACCTCAGTTATCCAACAATTAAAAACACAACAGCAGATAAATAAAAATTTATTAAAATCATTGTCTCCAAAAATACAAAAATTATTAAGGCATCATTTATTCCCATACTGGTATAGGCAGCAAAGAGAAATGTTTTAAATAGTACTTATACGATTTTTTTTCTCACTCTTTTTTTAGATAGGTTCTCTCTAGGTAGCCCAGGCTGGTCTCAAACTTATGATCCTCCTGCCTCAGTTTCCAGGGTGCTGGGATTACAGGCTTGGACCACCATAGCTTGCTTTATGCAAATGCTTTCTAATTAACTGGCAGATTGGTGTTCATACTCTCCTATTACATATATTATTGAAAGCTCTTATGAGCAAATGTCTTGACCCAAATCAACAGGAGTTCACTGTTGAAAAATAAAAAGTAACTACAAAGAGTGTGATATAAAGTTCAAATACTGGTATTTAAATTTCTTTGAAGTAATTTCTGCATCAGTAATTAAGCAAAAGAAGAGATGAAGACTTTATTTTGGATAAGAAGCCTATTAATATGAATCATGATATAAAATAATTATACACTCAATATTCTGCTTTGACAGTTTGAAGAGGGTTTCATACTCCTTTAAAAATTATCACTTCCAGTAGAATAAGTTCATATAAATTAACTGGTTGTCCCCCATATTTGTTCATTTACAAAGTTCTACAGGCTTTATAAAGTATACTAAACTAACATTTTCACCTTTTATTAAGGCAAATTTGTGAAAATAATTTAATACAACCAGATCTCTTCATGAACTTTCTGCTTACATTTATTGTGCAAGAAACATACAAAAACTGTATTTTATAAAAAGCCACCTCAATACCAGAAAATAGTAATGAAAGATGTTGAACCCAGTTTACTTTCTAAAGGATCCTCTTTCCTTATGTCAAATTCCAAGTGCTAGTCATCATCTTTAGAACCAGTTTTGCTTAACTATAAAAAAAAGAAATATTTAACAAGTTTAAGCATAGTACTTGAGTCATTTTCATTATCAAAACTAAAGCAATAAGGTTCAAGTAAACTGAATTTTAATTATCTATATCATATGTGGAATGTAACTACTCTCAATTTTAGATTTAGCTACTTCAAACAGGCTTAAAAATATAACCTCAACTTAAGTATAAATATTCTTCAAAGTACTCTAAGAAATAAATTAGAACCAAGAATATACAAAAAGAAAGTAACTTTTATAAAGTGAGTGACATTCTCCTATTTTTGTTTTCTAATATAAACAATAATTTTAATTTTTTTCTGGGTTGTGGTGAGGATTGAACCCAGGGCCTCATGTATGCTGGGCAAGTTCCCTACCACTGAGGTACATTCCCAGCAGAAGGGACAACAAATTCTTCAAAAAAAATTCTTTTTTAACTGTGGTTAAAAAAAAACCCCACTTAACATAAGATTTGGTATCTTAACCAGATAACAAAAAAGTATAATTTTGACAATGTGATTTTAAAAAACTTAAATTGTATTATTATTTCTTGGATAGAAATCTTTGACAGGAGTTAGCAAATTTGGGGTAATACAAATAAAATTCTCAATACAAAGATAATTCTGATTAGAATAGCCATCTAATCACCAAGAAAACATCACAGTACCCAGTAACCCCTGAGAATTTGGGAAGCTGTGAAAGCAGAAACTACTAAGCATAGTAGTTCTCAAACATTTTGGACTTCTTTATACTTTAAAAATAGAGAACCCTAAAGAGCCTTATTATATTTTTAATGTGGGCCAACCCTACTGATTTGAGATTAAAATTGAAATATTTCATTTATAAAAAAGTAACAATAAATAACAATAAACCCATTATATGATAACCCAATAACATTCTTTAAAGGGAAATAACCACATTTTCTAAAGCAAAACGTGAAAAGTGGCACTAGTTTTCCATTTTTGCAAATCTTTCCATTATCTAACTCATCAGGAATCTTATAAATCTGTGTTTATAATAAAATAGGTACAGTAGAAGGCAACATAACAAAAGTACTAAGAATAACCTGAGTTAATAAAGCATACTTTTAGAGCCCAAACATACTACCTTAAAAAATTCTGGAGAACAGAAGAATATATAAGGACATGCTCTGTTAGCACTTTAGTAGAGCATTAGTGCGGCATCACCACATGTCATGTAACTGGTCATGCAGCCAATCATGCAACTTCTCCAAAATACCACTTTATATTCAAGAGAAAATGAGTAAAAAAGGGCAAATAACATCTTAGTGTTATGATGCAAGTAGTTTTGACCTTGCATATCCTCCTGGTAGGGTCTTAGGGATTTCCCAGGGACCAAATACCACACTTGGAAACCACTGGCAGTTTCTGAGATCAAACTATGTCTAGGTAACTACCTTAAAAATATCTCTTCAGGGCTGGGAATGTAGCTCAGTGGCAGAGCACTTTCCTAGCATGAGTGAGGTCCTGCTTTATCTCCAGAACCACAAGAGAAAAAATTTCCCCCATTTCCCATGATTACTTAGCTATTTTAATTTTACTTATTATTTTTTTAAACTTGTAATTTTGTTTATATTATTAAGGACTCTCTTAAAAACAAACTTCTTGTGGTAGAGAAAGAAGAGCCTATTTCACTCTTTAGATCAATCAGATTATTTTCTTCTCACATTCAGCTGAGATCTGCTGCATCAGGGAAAAAACATTCTGACTGAGAAAACCATTAATTCTGGCACAGACTATTTTGAGAAAAGAAAGGATTCATTCAGCTGGTAAGCTACATACAGGTACACCTAGGACAACATGAACTATCCACCAACGATCAGTGGAGAGGGTAAATGATAGAATCCCAGAGAAGCTTCTTCTGCATAGTCCTTTCTATGGGGTCAGACTCTTGCCCCAAAGGGAGAAAAAAACAGTCTTTATTCTGATTGTACCCTCAGGTAATATTTTTGTACAACATGCTAGAAGTACAAAGATTATTTCAAACAGTTTCTGTAGAAAACACATATCATGGGCCAAATAGCCAATTATAAAATAAATTTTAAGTATACATTGCTTGTAAATTACTAAAACTCTTAATTTTTACTCTTGGGTCATAACAAATTCTTCTTATGGCAGTTGAGGTACTAACTGGCATGTAAAATTTTTTTCATGAAGTCCTACAAAAAGAACTAATTTATTGTGTTATTTATCAGTTTAGTATTTTTAAAACTACTATAGATAGTACAAGAAAAATTGAAGTGAGGTTAACAAAAAAAATGAAAAATAAGAAAGTAAACTACTTTAAATAACAAAACCAGAAAATCTTTCATGAGGGTCAACTACAGTTAAGGCCTTAACAAAGAATTTCTTTTTTCTTTTTTACTTTTTTGGTACAGGGGATCGAACTTGGGTCCTTGCGCTTGTGAGGCAGGTGGCAGAACCACTGAGCTAAATCCCTGGCCCCTTAACAAAGAATTTAAAATTTAGAATGATTTCTACCAAAAAATGGAAGTAGTCCTTTCCATGACTGGTTTTCTTCGGTTTCCATATCATATATAATTTAGTCATATTTAAGCATGCTCTTTCTTGAGATGTACTCATACAAAACAGTCATGCTTTACTGTAGTTATAAGTTACTTATCTAGATTTTCAATTATTTAAGAAAAGAAAATCTAAAACTAAGGGTATGAGGAAGCAAAGAATGCAAAGGCTATTTCAAAAAAAGTACTTACATGCTAAATGTAAAAACGTACACAGACATCCCAGGAAAATTCAGTGGTTGCAGAGGGGAAAATGGAAAATGTAAATGTCATTATTTGATGGCAATAAATGTAATAGTTTTGAAGACCAGAGTATAAACATTATTTACCTTTACAACATCAACCCAGTTCCAGCCTCGAGGAAGTTCTCCTTTGTGATCTGGAAGATGAAACATAACAATTTTATTTATAAGACTGATCAGCTAATTTTAAATTGATTAATATGCTAACAAATAAGATTTTGCATACTATTGTGTACAAGAAATAGATTAAAAGTTTAAATCACATATTACCATTGGAAAAATGGTTTAGTATCTTTGTTAGTTGAAAGAACCATTCTCCTGGAAATACCTGTGAAGTATTTGAGGTACTGTATTCCTCCTTTTACAATGGCCCTATTTCCCATTTAGGACAAAACCAGTTATCTAGGGAAAAATATGGACATGGGTTGGGATCAATATATTAGTTTTATGCATTTGCACAATTCTGCTTCATCGAAGGTCACTGCTCATTTAAGGAAGAAGTTGTGTTAGTCTACTGTTTCATGAGTTAGTATTTCACATCAAGAAGTCAGGCTCAACACAGGCCTCATAAACACACATACAGCTTCAAGACTAAGAGGGGGCCTTGTTAATTTATGTGTTAGTTGTGTTCTGATGAGATATTCACTTTTTAATGTAATATTCTTCAAAAAGGGCTTTATTGAGTGACTGAAAAACAAGTTGGTAACTTTGTAAAAATTTGTTTAACCTGTAGGCCACTTGCCCTCTTTTCTTTTAACACTATAATGAAAATATTTTAAAAAGGAAGTTTTGTTATTTATATATATTAACCATATCACATGTTTTATTTATATGCATCCCAAAACAATGTCTTTTCACTCAATGTGGCCCAGACAAGCCACAGGGGAAAGTGCTTTCATTCTTTTAATACAGAACATTTAAATCTAAAGAGCAGTTTACCAAATACTATTTAAAAATGGCTTGATTCCTTTATGCTTTATGTATGTTACTTTATGTATGTATGTTTCATTTTATGAAGCCATTAAAATCCACATTCAAAACCAGTACATTACACAAGCAACCATCCCTAACCTGAGAATCTGAAATCTATAATTTTTTTCTTTTTGGATAGTTTTGTATATTGGAGTATTTCAGATTTTGGATTTTCAGACTATGGATATTCAACTGGTAACTATGCAAATAAGTCAAAATCTGAAAACTGAAATCTGAACACTTTTATCGGACCTATGTGTTTTCATTAAGGGATATTCAACCTGTGTTGATTTTTCAGCAAAGGAAAACAGAAAGTAAACTCATGGTTCTTATAAGAAAAATGCAGTATTACTGGAGCTCGCTCTATCTGTCTGTCTGTCTATCTATCTATCTATTTTTGTGGTACTAAGGATTGAATACAAGGCCTTTCCACCGAGTTACATCATCAGCCCTTGTCAATTTCCCAGGCTAACTCTGAACTTGGATATTCTTGCCTCAGCTGCCAAGTAGCTAGAATTATAGGTATCTGGCACTTTGCCTACAGCATAATTTTAGATGGTAATGGTTCTTTTCTCTTTCATGCTAATTAGAACCCTACTGGTTATTGGTTATGAAAGGCACAATGGCAGATAACGAAGTTTGGATAATTAAAACTTACCCACAGTGCTGTGGCTGTCTTATTAAAGTCTTATTTAGAATTAGAGATCTACAAACTCCTACACTGTCATTACAGAAAGATAATGACTTTAGGCCGACATCATCAAAGAGATAAAGATAGGTAGATATTAATGAAAGAAATGATCACAGGTCATTATGCATAAAAGCAACAGACACAGATGTTGAAACATTCCAAAAAGAGAGTACCAAAATTCTACAAAACAGACTGTAATAGCTAACAGTTGACTAGTGCTGATTTGTTGAGGTATAATAGATTCCTAGATTTTTATTTCACAAAATATACTTTTTAGAGACAGACACAGTGTTGCTTTCTTTTTATTCTGCTACAAATAGACATTACACACAGATCAACCTACTATCCCTTTAGAAAAGAAAGCCTATCTTATTTTTTTTAGGTTTTAATAATGTATTTTATTTTACCCCGTATATCCACAATACCATCGTTTCAGCACGTAATCATTTCAACATGCAATTCTGAATTTTAAAAATTGGCCCAAGTGACTCTCATTCAAGCTTGGGAAAATGGGGACTACCAGTTGCCTTGAGAGGCACAGAAGAAGATCATTTTTAAACCTATCTACTCAAATCTACTCAAATCAAAGTGTTAGTTCATCTTGGCAAAGGGCAGTTTGTAATCTTATATTAGTAGCACATATACACATATTGACATATAAACGTACATGTGTACACATGATAATATCCTCATTTTCCCTAACAGGGAAGAATTTATAGACTGATATAAATTTGAAATTTCCAAATTAAAGAAAAAAGATCAAACATTATTGTTGATAATGACTTGGAGTATATAATCATTTTCTAAAGGACTCTCATTTAGAACAAATGAGAATTCTATTCCTAAATCTTGTTGCAAAAATAACTATAGAAAAATATTATTTACTGTGCTAGGATCTAATGGTATACTAGGCTTCACTTCAAGTGAAAGCTATATTTCACATAATTTTTAATAATACACACTTGCCATAGAGGTAAACAAAGAAAATCCTAGATATGTTAGAGTGTACAAGTAGGACATGGGTTTTTGTGTGCTACTCTAATGTTCCTCAATCTCAGGACGCATTTTATAGTTACTCTGCCACTCAGTTACCTTATTTTTCAATGATTATGTCCTGTGATAAAGCAACAGGAAGTATTTATAAGATTTCTGTACTATGACTCAAAAGGTCTTCTGATCCAAATGTTCCAAGAATAAAAAGCAGAGAATTAATCTTCTAAATCTAAATATATTAAGCGTTCACATCTAAAAAGCAATCTGTTTATTTGCGTTATAAAAGATTTAAAAAAAAACACAAACCTGTTTTATCTGCCAGCTTACGTTTCTGAGCTTTTGAAAGTTGTTCTTTTTTGTCTTTTTTCTTACTTGATGGGGCTATACTAGGAGTTTCGACTGAGATGATATTGCTTATGGATGTCTAAAAAGAAAGAAATGGTTCTTAGACTCATGTCCTAAAACTTACTGAATTATTCTAAACATCCTGAAATGAGTTGATCTCTAGAGTTATGAAATAAAAGAATCCTACTATTCATTTATTAAATCAGTTACCTTCAGTATATCAAGAGTTTTTAATCAAAGGACACAATATTAGTCAAACAGTTAATAACAGAACTGTAAGGAGCAAGATCTGATTACCTGCATTAGGTTGAAGATCTGAGGTTCCAAGATGGCTTAAAATTCATTTAACTTATTATTTAGAAGTTTAAGCATCTTTAGGAAAAGTAACATGTACCTACGTGAACATTCTGGTCTCCTGATCCTCACTACAATTGTATAAGGTAGATGCTATTATAACTCCCATTTTATCAACGAGGAATTGACCAAAGAGAGATTGAGAAACTTGCCCAAAGTCACAGGGGTATAACAAGCAGTGTAGTGAGGACTTGAACCCAGACAGGTTGGATCTCATTCCATGGTCTTGGTTACTATCTTTCTACTGCTCCCCTACCTGTCTCTTAGTTTTTTATCCTAGTTCTACTGAGAGTGTGGAAGCCAGGAGCACTCAAGTAGACAACAGCCTTTGCTACCAAGATCTACAGTTTGGTTCACAAGACAAAACTCTATTAACGTTGACCACTGAAAGTTTTTCAGTGCAGAACTTGGTGTACAAGATACTTAAGGTCATAAAAGATGATTATTCTAAAATTATTCTAGAAATAAAGGCATTATTTTTTCTACTTACTAAAGTCTCCTTAAGCTTTAACACCTTGATGTTGAATGATGGCAAGAATATTTACAACAAAACAAGCCTTGTGGAGAAAGCAATTTCATACATATTTTAGCACTATGTAAGAAATCCTTTAGCTACTTAAGCTTTACAAAGAGATACATTTTAAAAGATAATGTTATACAGTCACTCGGTTTTGATAAGCATAAGAAGTCTTCTAGTCTTTGATAAAGTGTAAAAATCCAGGATATAATTTCATTTTGTGTTAACTTGAAGAAATCTAAAATTCACTGTTCTTACTTGATGCAGATAAAATTCATTTTAAACATAACACAATGTCTTCAATTTTCAAAATATATTAACTAGCAAAAATTACTAGCAGACCAAAAATAAAACAACAAAAGACGCTGGTAAAAAAATAATCACATACTCACTGTAGAATTAACAGGATGGTGATTTTCCATGAACTGCTCTTTATTGTCTTTGGCATACTCAAACAATGTATAGGTCATAGCAGTTCCAAGGTTAACTTCCACTGCTTCCTGTAACTTGGCTAATATACTTTGCTTTACAGCTGATGATCTACAAATGTCAAACATATTATTAGGAGGAAAGAAAAACAGAGTAAAATAAAAAAACAATGAAATAAAACTACTCACATGGTGTTGTTAAAAAAAGCATTCATAGATATAATTGGAGGTGTCTGGGGGTATGTTTCTGTCCACGAAATCTCTATTAAGAAGGCTTTGGGATCACCACTTTCACCTATCTGAAGAAAAGCGAAATCTTAGGCTTGTGAAAAGTGACAAAAAGACAGAATACCAAATTGTATGATTTTTGAAATGATTCTTTCGAACTCACGCTCAATGTAGGAATGTGATACTTTGAAAAGTTCAGGGACACAGATTAAGTTTATGCCCATGCCCTGGCTTTCAATTAACCCACCAGCTTTTCCAGTACCAATGCTACTTAGCATCCGATATAGTTTTTTAGGTTTCACCAAAGATTTTTGAGGATGAAGACATTAACTGGGAGGAACAAGAACAGAATGGATAAAAATAATAATCCATAAGCTGAGAAAAACACCTAATCCTTTGCTTGTTTTTCAACTGCTAAATCACAAAAGGCATAATAAGTAAATCAATATACATTAGCACAATCTCAAGAGACCAAGTGTAAAATTGAGAGGAAAAAAGAAAAAGGCAAAGGATAAGGAAAACAGAAGGTCTTAGGCTGGTCTTAGGCTGAGTAATTTAGGGGTGTCTTTTTTCCTCTACTCTCAACTTTTTCTTTAAAAATTCTTTACTCTTAAAAACTGAAATAGTACAGTAAATGCTCACTGATATTTATTTAAAACTTTTTCCTGCACTTACTTTATTCTTCCTTTCTACTGAGTCAGTTCCCACTCCCCTGATGTGTGAGATTTTTTTCCTTTGGTTTTTGTTGAATCATTTCAAGGTAATGAAATGTCTTCAAATATTTATGAATAAAGTATTCTAAGGACATTCTCTTTATAACCACAAGACCATTATAACACCCAAGAAATTCAACATTGATACAAAAATATTATCTAATATATAATTCATATTTAAAATTCTCCAATCATATCTAAAGTGTCCTTTAATAAAATATCACTTTTAACCCACAAATGTATTCTCCACTGAAGGATCATAGATTGTATTCAGCTGTCATTGTCTCTCTATTCTACTTTAATTTAGAATAGTCCCCAGCCATTTCCCCTGCTTTTAAAATGTCTTTTGTGATAATAAAAGTCCAGGCCAGTTTTCTTGTATAACATTCCCAGGTTCCTCTATTTGGACTGAAATGAAACGTTTTTGGTCAGGACACTACATAGGTCATGCGGTACACCCTCACAGCACCATGCAAGAAGGCATGTAAGATCTTCTAGAATCATCACTGATGAAGCTGAGTTTGATTACCTGGGAAAGGTAACATTTTGCAGATGTCTTCAATGTAAAGATTTTTTTTTATTTTGTAGGTGAGAGGAAATCTATGGCATAATATTACAAAACTGTGTGAATCCCAAATATTTTAGCATCTATTAATGATCCCTGCCTGAATCAATTATTGCGCTAGTTACAAAATGATAATTTTCTAATAAAACCATGGAACAGTTCATGAGTCAGCATCTCATCCTGATACAGGATATGCTAATCTCCTTTGATATTTTTTTTGGGGGGGGTTTTTTTGTTTTTTTTTTGGGTACTGGGGATCAAACTCAGGACCTGGCGCTTGTGACGCAGGATCGGTGCCACTGAGCTAAATCCCCGGCCCTCCTTTGATATTTTTATACATGTGCAATTTGTTTAAAAAGGATTTAAACAACAGCAATATTTCTCACCTCAAACTACTTCTTGATTCATTTTTATTTTCTGTCCACAGTTTTTCATTTTGACCTCCTTACCTTCAATCATATATAAGGCCACTCTCAGAAATCATATCAATAAATTTAGGCCTCTGTTGATGATAAACCTATATAAGTCAATTATATACATAATGGAAATCAGTCTATGCTTGCCTTGGCTATATAATAATTAAAAATGAGAAAAGTTACTTGCTGTATGCAATTTTAAGTCCTTATTCAAGGTACACTTAGGAACAAACTGCCACATGTTTCAGATTATGCTAGGTGGACAGATCATTCCTGTCTTCAAAGAGATAAGACACTTGCAATATGAATAATAGTTTCAAAGTGACAGAGCAAGGTATGAAGAAATGGGGAATGGTTAATTCTGCTTCAAGGTCAGGGCTGAAATAGGAGATATGGCCAAATATTTCATAGAGGAGGCATCAGTTAGGCCTTAGAAAAGTCAGATAGATAATAGCTGAAAGGTGAAGTAAACAGTGAACAATGTGTCCCAAAACAAAATACTTAAAAATACTTCAGAAAATATTTAATAATCCATTAGTCTAATGGTTATCAGTGGCTGGGAAAATGTGGAGTGCCAGTTTGAAACAGAAAGACTCTGAGCATTAAGATAAAGAATTTAGTGCTCACTCTATAGGCAAGAGGAATCCATGGAGAAAACTTCTTAACAAGGGAATGGGCTCACTACTTCAACTTTAGATAACTAGTAGTCTGTTAGAGGTCTAATGGAGGAGAGTAAAGAGGAAGCCAAAAAAAGAACTGAAAGCAGAGAAGTCATTTAGGAGCCTACTACTCTTCTGTACAAGAATGGAGGGGCTTAACTAGGACATATGCAGGACTCTAGTTCATTTCCTTTGACTCTAGTTCATTTCTCTATCTCCAATCTCATGTTTTATTCCTCTTAAGTCCATCCTAGAATACACAACCATGTCCAAGAGTATTTTGCATATTGTGTTCAATAAATAATATTGTCAATGGAGACATTTAGGAAGTTTTAGGGAAATTTTCAAGCTCCTATTTGCTAAGAGGAGGGTGGTGGTGGTCAGGAAAATCTGGGAAGGCGGTCTGAGTCAAATACAAAGGTCTAGGACTTAACTCCATCATTAACTTTATGCATTAAAAGATTGTTAGATACATGGATACTGTGTAGAGACTGTTGAGCTTAGGAGGGAATTGAGAATTGCTGAAAAGGAAGAAGAATATCCAAAAGAAATAATTATAAGAATTTATTTCCTGTGACAGCCTACAATAGTCAGGAATAAGGATCATTTCTCTTACAATTTACTTCAAATGGGGATAATGTTCATAATAACTTTTACAAAAGTTCCAGAAATCTTTCACAAAAACCCTCTTCACTACACTATTACATAATTACTTAGATAAATGGTTTATATTATTTACAAAATAAAATACTAAAAAAAAGTAGTACTGTTTTATGTTGAAGATAGCATTTTAAACAACTCGTTTTAAAGAAAGATCCATGTTTCATATAAGTAAAAAAATGCCCATACATATTTAGAAGACAGAATTAAAAAATATCAACTTTTCTTTTCTATATATTAGAGTAGTAAAAGAATACTAGACTTGGAATACAGACCTGAACTTTAATCCTCATATGTATTAATATCAACTGTGGGAGTTTAGGAAGCTATGATGGAGGGAAGTCATTTTTAAGATGAGAGCAAAACCATGAATTCTAAAGTTCTTCCATTTCTGACATTTTATGACTGTTACAGTAGAACCAAGTTAATCTTTTTAAAAAAATAATTTCTGAATTAACATTTCAAATGTTAAGAATGATTAATGTCATGGTGATAAATTTTCATTTAAATGCTTCAGAAAGTAGAAAGACATTATAAATTTAAATTACCAATTTCAAAAAACAAAATCAGCATTTTGGGGGGAATGTTTAGTTTTTTTCTTTTCCTAATAAAGCAGGTACTTATTCATGCCATATCTTACCCTGTACTGAAATGAAACTGGACTTAATTCCCGGAAACTTTCATCTCCTTCATAAATAGAACGTAATGCTTCTAGTTCCATCTGAAAGAAAAGAATCATGAGTTTCGTGGTATAGATTAGTAGTTAGATATCTAAATATATGAGTAAAGGATGAAAGACAATTTGCTTTGTATAAAGCATTCAAAGGGTGTCAGTTGATGATAAATCAGAAAAACAGTGATGCCACAGTTTTAAAATGGGACATAAATAAACTTAGAATTTGTCCGTAATACTCAATTCAGAGATAGAAAAGGAATGAAAGCAGACTTATGAAGAAAAGCTAAAAGGAACCATTTCATCTGAGAAGAGAACCTCTTAAAAACAGGACAGAAAACTGTCTTCAAGTATCTATTTTGATTCGGTTGGTCTGAGGTGATGTGCAGGCATCTGTTTTTTAACAACCACCTACAGTGGTCCATGGGTCAAACTTTGAGAAACATTACACTACATGCTCTGTGCTCTGCAGGAAGACAATTACTTTTAACTGACACATAGTAACTGTACATATTTATGGGGTACAATACGGTACTTTGATACATGTATAGATTACATAATCATCAGATTAGGGTAAATAGCATACCCATCATCTCAAACATTCACTGTTTCTTTGTAGGTGAGCCCATTTGAAATCTCCTCTTCCAGGTATTTTTTTAAATTAAATAACTTTATTATCAAATACACACATACAAAAATTAAAACCATTCAAAGAAGAACAATGCAAGGGAAAAAAACCTACAATAATATTCAAATATGGTAGAACTCAACCAAAACAAAACTGAAAAGCACTTCAACATTTTTCCATATAACTTAAAAAAGCATCTCAAGCACCAACAAGACACCAGAGAATGTGATTTGTTTCAGAAAGATCCCCAAAACCAACACTGAAGAAAAAGTGGTCTGGAAAAAACTCCAGTTAGCTAGCAGCCTCCACATAAGCCAAGCTTCTCCCTAATTTAAATTTCGATAGTCATATGACACGTGATGGAAACACAATCCGAGAAATATGTTATTAGGTCATTTCATCCGTGTGTATCCTTAATTACTCTTTCAGTTGCTCACACTAGAGAAACTATTCGGTATTTACATGTGTCCTATTTATTTCACTTAAGATGGCCTCAATATGCATCCATTTACCTATAAATATCTCTAGTTTGTCATTCTTTATGGCTGCGTAGTACTTCATTTTATAAAAAAAACACATTTTCTTTATCCAGTCTCCAGTTGATGGGCACTTGGGCTGTTTCCAAGCTTTTGCTATTACAAACTGTGCCGCTATGACCCTGGGTGCACATATATCGCTGTGGTATGATTCTTTTAATTCTTTGGGGAAGATCCCCAGCAGGGGAATAGCTGGGTCAAATGGGACCTCTAGCCCTAGTTCTTTGAGGTATCTCCATACTGATTTCCACAGTGGTTGCACCACTCTGCACTCCCACCAACAATGGAGAAGGGTTCCTTTCTCCCCACACCCCCACTAGCATTTGTTATTGGTTGATTTCTTAATAGCAGCCATTCTTTGTGGGATGAGGTGGAATCTCAGTGTTGTTTTCATCTGCATCTCTCGAATGACCAGTGATGTCGAACATTTTTTCATATATTTATTTGCTGCTTTTACTTCTTTGTCTGAGAAATGTCTGTTCATTTCAGATGCCCATTTTTGAACTGGGTCTTTGAATTTGGGGGGGTCTGATTTTTTTCAGTTCTTTATATATTCTAGATAGTAGTCCCTTGTCTGAAGTACAGTTGCTGAAAATTTTTTCCCACATTGTAGGTTATCTCTTAGCTCTGTTGGTAGTTTCTCTTGCAGTGCAGAAGCTTTTTAATAAGATGAGATCCCAGTTGTTGATTCTTTGTGCAAGTTCCAATGACACTGAGGTTTTGTTCATAACATCTTTTCCTATACCAATGTCCTCAAGAGTTCTACCTAACTTATCTTCCAGCAAATTTAGTGTTTCTGTCTTAATATTTAAATCTTTAATGCACTTCGATCTTAATTTAGTGCATGGTGATAGGTATGGGTCTAGTTTTAATCTTTGGCAGGTTGAAATCCAATTTTTCCAACACCATTTATTAAATAGGCTATCTTTCCTCCAATGAGGATGGTTGGCTCCTTTGTCAAAGATGAGGTGGCTGAGCATATCTGTAGTCATTTCTGCATCTTCTAATCTATTCCACTGATCCTTGGGTCTGTTTCTTTGCCAGTACCATGCTGTATTTATCACAGTAGCTTTGTAGTATAGTTTCAAGTTGGGGATTATAATACCCCCAGCCATATCTCTGTTGCCTAAAATTTCTTTTGCTATTCCAGGTCTCTTCTGGCTCCAAATGAATTTTTGGATTGTTTTCTCTAGTTCTGTGAAATATATTGTTGGAATGTCAATCAGCATTGCATTAAACCTATATAATAGTTTTGGAAGTATGGCCATTTTCACTATATTGGTTTTTCTTACCCAGGAACAAGGGATGTCTTTCCATTTTCTTATATCCTCCTCAATCTCCTTTTTCAAAGTGCTATAGTTTTCAGTGTAGATGTCTTTTTGCTTCCTTTGTTAGACTGACTCCTAGATATTTCATTTTTTTGGATGCTATTGTAAAAGGAATTGTTTCCCCAATTTCTCTCTCAGTGAGTCTATTGTCTTCCAGGTATTTTGAAATATATATTACTTTATTATTTACTGTTCACTCTACTGTGCAAAAGAACTTATTCTTTGTAACTGTAACTTTGTATCCCCTGACTATTCTCTTCTGTTCTCCTTCCCAAGAATCAAAACTATTTGGGGGGGGGGGTCTGGGGATCGAACTCAGGACGTCGTGCTTTCGAGGCAGGCATGGTGCCACTGAGCTAATTCCCCTGCTCTGAGGAGTCAAAATTATTAAGGCCTTGGTTTTGAAACTCGCCTGCTAAGAATATTTTAAAAGAATACTCAGATATCTATTAGTTTGTTGATTGGGGTCCTTTAAAGATAACTTTCAATCAGAGATTCTATTACATCTATCATGTAAAAACACTAACCTTCAAGTAGCTCCTGAATAGCAGTGCTTATCTATACTACCCAAGGAGACTTAAATTCTAATCCTAATTCTACCACATACTCTCTGTGCAGCCCTGGGGCATTGATTTTTACCACTGTAGACACTTTTTTATCCATCCATACACATTACAAAGTTAAAAGTCTTCCCTATAGCTGACCTGTAGCGCGTCCTAGCCTCTCCAATTCTGTATGATTCAATGTCAAAATGACACTTCCCAAAGAAATACCAACGCTTAAACCATACAATTCAGGAGATACACATATACTCAGAATAGATTTTGTACCCACTGGACAAGTAACAGATGGCTAAATGATTTCACTCAACAATACAGAGAGAAGCCGGAGACACCACTATCATTTTCCTCCACCAGAAATTTAACTGACACAACTAACCCTCTTTCTACCAATCAACGGCTTTTAAAATCGAAAGGTGATTGGGTTCCAACTCAAACGCGCCAGGGTCCTGTAGTAAGGACATCCATCCTTATTAAGAAGGAAGCTCCCAGATTTACAAAAAACAAGGGAAGGAGATGAGGAGACCGAAGCAGCCTCCTGCCCGGTCACGTCAGCTCGGGCTCTCCTCGCAGGGTCCCAGCGCGCGGGGGGCACCCGGGCCAGGCTCTGAGGACTCCAAGGCAAGGACACCGGCCTCGGGCTCGGTGGGCAAGGGGCGTCCAGCTGGGGGAGGGGAGGACGCTCACCTCCTGGTCCTCGTTGGCGCTCATCGCGCCGGGAGCTTCCCAGGCCGAGAGCGCTCGCGACTACGTAGAGAAGGCGAGTACAGTGGCCCGGAGGCCAGGGCGTCCCCTTTCTGCGCCTCGGCTGCGAGGTGAGGCTGCACCCTCTTCGTAGCGGTAGAGCCAAGATCACGCGCAGCCTTGACGCTCGTCAGCTTGAAGGCGGGGACGCTGAGCCGTGGGCTGGGGGCCACGAGACACAGGCCACTGAGGTGGTGCGTCCCAGCGTCTTCGGAGAAGCTGCAGGGCGCTAACGGCGGAGGCTCCGCCCCTCCCGTCTGTCGCTTCTCCTATTGGCGCCTTTTCTCTCCACCCCAGCTCTTTCTCCTCTAGGAAATGAAGTGCTTTCCTTACATTTTGAGGAGCTGCGCAATGTTCGGGGTTGCGATTGGTGTAGATAATTGTCACTCAGACTCACGAAGTGCTTCCTGTGCCAGCGGGGGCGGAGCAAAGGAAATCTGCTGGAGCTGGCTCTGGGGCTGTGGCTTCAGGGAGCATCCCTGGTGTTCCTGGCGTTCTGTGACCCTCCTGCCTACCTCCTCTTGCCCTCCCCGGTTGGCAGCGACCGGCCACAGTTGCAGCGGGCCCAGTTGTGCTTCCAGGGTGAGTCCGGGCCCAGATATCTACGGGACTGCCGAAGAAGAGGGCCATCCCATATCAGTGCTAATTGGGGCCCTGCGTTTTCCTAAGGCGTCAAGGAGTGCAGTCCTGACACTTCTCTTTCAGCTCTAGAGAAAAACGTGTTTATTTCTGAGGCCTTCCAGGTGGGCATGGGGTAGTAGAGGAGGAAGGTTTCGTCTGCTTTTAAGGTTGCAAGGTTGTTTCTCCTCCTTTGTCCTTTTTATCTACCGGGGCAGAATAAATACTGGGGTCCAGGGGACATTGTTTTTTCCTAAGTTGGGTTTTGGTTCACATCCTCAACATCAGCTCCCCACCACTCGTGCCACACCACTTTGACCCCAAACTATCGTTCTTGTTTCTATCCTTTTATTGTCTGGTATCTCCGAGTCTCATTCTTACTAGCCTATGTGCCTCGCAGTCCGAAATCCAGTTAATTAAAAGTAATAACCACATGGTCTTTTACTTACCACTGTGATTGGGTCAGCTTCCTCATAATCTTCCATGTAGCTGCCAGATGACTTCTCTCCCACTACATGACGTCGTCCAGAGTGCTCAGTTACCACTTCTGCACGTCCTTCTGTGTCATGCTTTGGTTAGCTGCTCCGTTAACATTTTCCAGGAAATCTGGAAATTTTTCCTCCCCTGGGAGGCAGAGATCGCACCTGTTTTACCAGTGTTCTTCCCATTCCCATCCCTTCGCCGTAGAATAAGCATGACCATTTCCAGTGCCAAAGCTCTGAAAGTGGGATGTGACAGGAATTTCTGACACAATTTTCATACAGTAATTCTGGAACAGTTTTACCGTCATTTAGAGCTGCACTGTCCAGTGTGATAGGCAGTGGCCACGGTGGCAGATGAGTGCTTCAGATAGCATAGTCTGAATTGAGATATGCTGTGAGTGTAAAATATACAACACATTTTGAAAGGTTAGTACAAAAACGTAAAATACTTCATTAATAACTTTATATGAATGTTTATATAACATTTTTAGAAATTCCGGGTTAATTAGAATATTATTATTAAGGGCCGGGGATTTAGCTCAGTGGTTCTACCGCCTGCCCCTCAAGCGAGAGGACCCAAGTTCGATCCCCGGTACCAAAAAACCCCAAAACAATCAAGTAGAATATTATTAAAGTGATTTCCACACATTTCTTTTACTTTTTAATGTAACTGCTAGGAAATCTCAAGTTATGTGGCCCATATTATATTTTTCTTGAGTGACCCTAATTTAAAGCTTGTGTAAGTCATTGTTAGTTTGTACCTTTTCCACTCCATATTTAAAGACCGTAACTATTTCTTTTGAGTTTCTGAGATTATTAAGAGAGATAGACCTTTAGAACTTTAGGGTAGACTCTTTGGCATTAAGCAAAGGTACCTATACTATTTGACCACCTCTTTTTTATTTTCAATCCCAAATTCCCCAGTGCTAGGACATTTCTTTCTCTACCCTCATACTTAATCCTGTGTTATAGACATTTATCATTTCTGCCAAGCTTTCCAAGTCATTTATTCAGTACCTGTCACTCCATCCATACTTAAAACAAGATTCTTAACAGGCTTTTCTAAATTCGAAATATTGTATATTTTAGGGTTCAAGTGGTGGTATAAATGGACCCCATTTTTAACACATAATATTTGAGTTCTGTATAATTTAGTGGTGGAGATCACCTATTGAAAGAAGCTCATGATATATCTTTTTGGAAATTACAGATAATTCTTAAAATATGATAATTTTGTTTAGAATAAGCACATTTTAATGTAATTTCTAAAGTAAGTGCATGCTTGAATTTATTATAGACTCAGCACTCAGCTAAAGGACGCAGTAGAAACATGTCCTTGAGGTTTCCATTCATTATTAGTTTTCTCTTACAGGTTTTCCTTTAAATAGTATATTTTATATTGTGGAAAATGAGAAAACATAGCTATTACTTAGATAATAAGTGTCTTTTAATATTTTAGGCAGTAAGAAATGAGATGTTAGCAATTACAGAAAAATTAGAGGAAATTGTACTTTTCAATATATGTAAGTCAATACTTATTTTTGTTTTATTATTTATGGTTGAAATAGGTCATAAGGACTTATTTTAATTTGATCACTTTCCTGCTTCTTGGTCTATTAATCCAAAAGTTTGTGATACATTTTGAGATATTACTGAAAATAATAATTTGCTTAAATAATAGATATTCATATATTAGATATAGATACTAGTTTTTGAAACTGTGAATTGCCATTTGCATTTCAGATTTTTTGTGACACCTTAAACATGAGCCCCACACAGTGGGACTTCCCTGTGGAATTATGTTGTCGGCCTATGGCTTTTGTTACACTTACGGGCCTAGATGTGGTTTACAATGCTGTCCATCGAGCAGTCTGGGATGCTTTCTGTGCAAATCGGAGAGCTGATCGGGTACCAATTTCTTTCAAGGTGCTCCCAGGTGACCATGAATATCCTAAATGTAGACCCAAGGTAATGACATTAAGATTGTGTGCATTTTCTCCCAGTGTGTGTATCTTTTTTGTTCCCATTGTGTGTCCTGGAAAACCCTTGAGTTTATCAAAACAGTGGTTACTGTGGTGCATTAAGCAAACCATAGGCATTTTCATGTACTGAGAAAACATACAATGTTGCTATATACTATACTACTATAAGTACTATACATGCTATATATTTAATAACAGTTATTATTTTAAACCCCAGAGGAATAATTACTTTAAAAAGATTTCTAGTCAATGTCTATTTTCCTTTTTTTAGTTTGTAGAAAAAACTCCCATGTCTCCACAATTTAAAAGTTCTTTTAAGAGGCAGCCCTCCCATTTCATACTCATCATTACTAATATTGTAGAATCCATGTTCTTTGCACATTAGTGCCATTTCACATATATTTTTTGAGCACCTACTTTTGTTTTAGGTAATTGGAACTATGCAATAATCAGATGATACAAATTTACATAAGACATACTGAATGTGCTTGGGAATTATATACAGTATAAACTAAAACTATTTACTCAGTGTAGAATGAGGAAAAGCATTGAGTTAAAAACTTGACTTTTGGCCAGCTGTGGTGGTGCACACCTGGAATCCGAGCCCTCTGGGAAACTCCTTGCCTTTTCCTATTCTTCCTTAAATGGGAAGTACAATGTTTCTAGGGTTGAGATTCTACTTCCAACAATTGCTAGCTGTTATTTAATCTCTGTTAGCATGATTTTCTCATCTTAGAAATGGGCAGCATGTACAATGAATGAGATAAATGCATGTAACATGCTGGGCCCTCAATAAGTAGTTCCTACTGTTACCATTATTATCAAATAACTAATTTACCACTGTTTGCAGAGAACTTCGTATGAGTGGTACATTCCTAAAGGGATCTTAAAGACTGGCTGGATGAATAAGCATCTGAATCTGGTGCCAGCTCTGGTGGTTGTGTTCTATGAACTGGACTGGGATGAGCCTCAGTGGAAAGAAAAGCAGTCTGAGTGTGCTACCAGAGTGGAAATCGTCAGGTAGGATCTCTGCTTCCCAAGTTGGCAGTGGTAGTTTGCAGGTGTCCATTATTGAACATTGAAGTCAGCTAGGTACTGTTTCAGCTACAGTGGTCATTTTGAGGATTGCCAACTTCCAGTTCCTGATAAGTAGTATAGGTATTAACTGTGTATAATGGCGCAGTGTGAAGAAATTTAGAAGATAAATTGGTCTGAATTTTCAAAATTTTTTTCTTGCATTCATGGTTTTTGGAGACGTAGAAATTTACCATTTGTCTTCATAAGACACTAGCTTTATTGGTATTCAATTTTAAGAATTCTTTTAGATGACTAATGTATGACTATAAAGAAACAAATTGTATTATAATTTTACATAAAAATATGTATTAAACCTTCACTTTAAAAGTATATGACTATGAGGAGCCGAGGATTTAGCTCAGTGGTTCAGCCACCTGCCTCGGCAGGTCCCAAGTTCGATCCCCGGTACAAAAAAAAAGTGATATTGTAAAAGTATATGACTAATGTGCCCTATAAAGATGTAAGTTGTATTACAAGTTTTGTATGGAAGTATATATTAAACTTTCACATTTTTCTTGTGGTACCGGGCATTGAACCCAGGGCTTTTACGCTGAGCTCATCCCCAGCCCTTTTTTATTTTCTATTTTGAGATGGGGTCTTGCTAAATTGCTAAATAGCACAAGCTAGGCTCAAACTTGCCTCCAGCCTCAGCCTCTCATTACAGAAGTGTGCTAGGTTATACTTTTAAAATTAAAATTATTATGGCAAATGTGGTTTATGTTTAGGAAAGTAGTTACTCTGCTCTTGATCTTTTTAGTTGAAATTGATCTTCAATTGAATTATCAAGCTTATATTTTTTGTAAAACCTTGAATACATTCAGTTAAAACTAATGAATTAATTTTCTTGTTATTTTTTCCATTGCAGACAAAGTTTACAAGGAAGAAACACAAAAGTTGCAGTTGTTTTGATTCAGAAGAAAACTCCTTTGCCTCCAGGTATCAAAAGGTTAATTAATTACTTGCTTAAACCTCAGATTCTTACTACCAAGAAGTAGTTTTTTAATGTTTAAATCTTTTATGCATTCAGTCTCGGGGATGATAGTGTGTTACCCTTAGGAAAGTACCAATACATGAATCAAT